AAATATTGTCATTATTTATATATTGTATTAAAATACCTTCCATTGTATTTTATAACAATAACCTGAACCATATTGTTTTAGCTTTATTTTTGTTATAATTTTAATAAGAAATCATGTTTGTATTTGATTAGTCAATGTTTTTATGACACAATGAGATTATAAAGGTGTATATAGCCTACAAATTAATGCAAGTGTTGTCTGTATGTCTGTATTGTTTTTACATTATATCCTAGAGTGAAATATTACATGACAAAGCTATTTAGCAGATATGGTATGAGTACTTAGTGTGGGAGAAGAGGGAGTGTTGACCTCCAGATGCACATTGAATAATTTTTAATAATGTGCCATATCTTGGAAATGTTTTGAGTGGATACTCAGCTTCCTTGTAACTTTGTAAGACTAATTAAATGATTTTAACATCAATGCTGAATATATATATATATATATATATATATATATATATATATATATATATATATATATATATATATATATATATATATATATATATATATATATACTGAAAACTCACACCCAGAAGTGACTCGAACCCATACTCCCAGAAGCAACGCAACTGGGAGTATGGGTTCGAGTCACTTCTGGGGTGTGAGTTTTCAGTTGCATATGTCCTGGGGACCATTCAGGCTTGTTCGCATATATATATATATATATATATACAGTATATATATCTGTAAATCTCATTATCTCATTTTGTGTGTATGAATAGTATAACACACTGGGTACTATACATTTTAAAGTACACCTGTATTACAATAATAGTTAAATGATTAATGTACTAGACAGTCGTATGGCAAATTCCAGATCTCTAATTAATCAAAATGATTAGTGGCACTATGTATTGTATATTGGTCTAATTAATAGAAAAATTTAACTTAAAATTAATATTCACTGTAAATTGTTATTTGTACATGTATACACTCACTGTATTATTTTAACACTTAAAGTGAGGCTATATTTTCCCAGCAGTTATCCACAAATGCAAAAGCAAAAACATTTAATAATTTTTTGTTTAGAAATTATTTAATATTACGGGGAGGGAATTTTCCTTACCATAGTGTTAGTTTTGCACATTCATAAGGTCGTGCTCAAAAGCCAATTTTGCCACCACTAGTTGCATTCAATTGGAAGTGTATTCAGGTGTATTCTGTAACACTAATTAGTCATTATTGTACATTGTAAATGAAATATATTCTTTATTTTAAATCATTATAAAATTTTATTGTTTATAAAATCAAATCATAAGACTGATTTATATACTGTATTGACAAATTTTGAAGATTTAATGAGGTTTTCTTTAGGTAATATGTATACCAAAGAAAATGGGACTTTTTCATGTGTTCATTTGAGCTCCAGCACCACCTGTTGATGGCAGAGGTAACACTTCATAGTCTGATTGCTAAGTGCTGCTACATGGTAAAATATAATATTATGATCCCTACATGGCTGATATGCCATAGAGAACTATATTTTAAGTGTTTTAAGTCGATAGTTTAAATTTTTTTGCAAATTTAAGTGTTTTAACTGAACGTATATTGTCACAGTAATATATATATATTATAAAAGAAAACATAAATATTTTCTTAATTTGTAACATATGATTATTATAACAGGAAAACCCCCACAGTAAAATGTATTAATACTGTATCACTTTAACATTAGTTAACTATATTATACTTTTAGACACTATTTGCATTCTATCCTGTAAACAAATGTTTATTTCTCTACAAAATTAACATTGCTATTGAATTAAGGTTACAGTATAAAATGGATTTTGTAAACTTATGTGATGATGTTATTAAGTGAACTCATATATAAATGACTCATTATAACCTCTTTTGAATCAGTAATGTGTTGAATGAAACATCTCTTTTTGTACATCTTATTCCATACTTTTCTATGTAAAATTAATTTTTTGTTGTCTCTTATTGCTTGGACGTTACAATTTGTTGTTACAGTATTTACTATTTGATAATATTTTGAATTTCAGTAAAAATTCAGAAGCAATGCTCTGAAAATTTGCCAATATTCTTATGGATATTGTGAATGTGTGGCTGGCTGCTGAAAGATTCGCAGGATGTCCCGCGTTGACAGCCCCTTTCGTAGCTAAATTGGGCAGCCCTCAAGCTTCATCTTGCAACCATCAAGTTTCTTCATGCATCCATCAACCTTCACCATATATCCCCAAGTTTCACTGTGCATCCTTCAACCGTCACCATGCATCCATCAACCTTCACCATATATTCCCCAAGCTTCACCGTGCATCCCTTAAGATTTACTGTGCATCCCTCAACCTTCACCCTATATCCATTAAGCTTCACCATGTATTCTTCAAGCTTCATCAAATATCCTTCAACCTTCACCATATATCCCCCAAGCTTTGCAATGCATCCCTTAAGCTTCACCATGCATCCCTTAAGCTTCAGTATTTACAATATCCCCAAAGCTTCACCGAGAACAATTGATGACAAATGTAACAAAT